GTGATATTCATAAATAATGTGTCTCCCTTTTGTTAAAGCATCACATATCAACTGTATCGAAGAGTAGTAATGTGTGAGGACTTTTCATTTCATTTCGCTGAATACCTTCTCACATTTTGTCAGATCATTTCCATTGTTTGGACTTGTTCAACAGTTAATGTAGGAGACAAAGCCTACTGGCAAGGTTTGGCATGAACTTAGTATGTTAACAGATTGGCTTCATCACTGTCACCAGTAAGCTGGTGTGTGGTGGGCGTTCTGGCACAATATGGCTGCCGTCGCATCATCCAAGTGGACGATACACATTAGTGTTGGTTGAGGAGATTCCTCCCTTCCATGCAAAAGCGCTTTGAGTACCCAGAAAAGCACTAAATGTAAAACAGTCATAGGAATGATCTTACCTGGTTTACGTTCTTTGGAGATGGTGCATCCACGATAGCTTTTAACTTTGATGGAACTTTGTGAAGACCGGCAATGTCAATTAACTGTCCTAGACACTCGATGGTCGACTGGAAAAATTCACATTAGTCTTTCTTCATCGAAAGGCCATACTCTTTTAGCCTCTGAAGTGTTGCAATCAGGTTCCCGAGATGATCCTCATAATCTTTTCCTGTGATTCATCGATATAACACTGTACTCCATTCAATCCACTCTAGATGTGGTCCATGGCACGATGGAACAATGCTGGAGCCGACGTTATGCCGAAAGGAAGCCTCTGAAATCTGTACAGGCCCTTCTGTGTCACAATGGTCAGCAGCTCTTGGGAAACAGGATCAACCTGAATTTGGAGGTAAGCTTGACCTAAGTCTATCTTGCTGAATTTCTGGCTGTCTGCTAATCCAGCAAAATATCTTTAATTAGTGGCAAGGGGTACTGTTCCACAGTTAAAAGGGTGACAGGGACCTTAAATTACCACAAATTCTGACTGATCCATCTGTTTTCAATACAGGAACAATGGCCCACTCACTAACACTCACTTTCTTCACATTCGTTAAGAATTCTGTTAGCTGATTAACATTCTGTTAGCTGAATAACAGTTACTTCTACAAGTGTAGCAGATAGAGAAGAGCATTTATCCTCGTCGCCAATGTAACAAAACTGTTTCCATTGAGCGTATTTTCATTTCGCAATTTCCATTTGCGAAATTTGAAGGGTAATGGAAACACGGCTACTGGTAAAAGCATTTTCACATTGCAGTTTTACTGCTTACTTCACTATATTTGCAGGTAATAATGCAATACAACAGGGAACCAGTACAGTGTGTCGTAAGGACAAATACACAACAGTACTGTCGTACTGTAAGTACATGTCTAAATGAAAATTCATTAATAATTTTATTGTTTTTGAAATTTAAAGTTTACTGTCAAGAATGTACTGAAAAGAACTTTTTAAAAGTGTGCTTGAGTGTTAAGCAGTCATAAAAGTGTACTCTCTTTCAGTAAACTTAAGTGCCCATTCATTTCATTAATATTATATGATCCGCAAGTGCAGTTTCTTAAAAATATACTTTTAAGATTTGAAGTAGACTACAAGTGTTTTTCAACAGTATGTACATGATGCAAACCAAATCCTAACCTTAATCCTAGTTAGTACATAGTACTCAATTGTATAATTACACTTTAAAATAAAGTGTAACCCAATATTCCAAATAATACTGTCAAAATTGTGTTTGTATGGTATGTATCCTGTCATGTTTAGTACAGATATGTGGTGCAGAACGTCCTGCAAGCAGTGCTGTTGAGAAGGTCCATAAATTCGACCATCTTCATTGATATGCACCTCACATAAACTGAGAAGAACATGAATTATTTTCTCCAATAATACCCTCAGGTGAAATCTGTGTTTTTCCAATGTTCAGGTGCTCATTTGAATAATACATTCATTGTAGCATTGGACAGTCTGATAAGGCCACAAGTCATTTCAATCTGCCAATTATGAGACTGAAAATCTGCTTCTACCCCCAAGTCATGGCTTACAACAGGTATTATGTTGCAACCTAATTATTTGGGTTGAGGTGGAAGAGAGATTAACTAAAAACCACAAATGCAGTAAACACATACAAAGCCCTCTAACATTATTAAAGCTCTTGAGATCACATCTCAGCAAATGATCGTAAACATGGAACAACTGCATTAGGCTAATTGCACTCTCACGCCCAGATGCCATTTAACCCTTTTAGCAGAATAGCAACAGTATCAGTACAAATGCTGTTGATTGAACAACCGTGTTTGTCAGGAACAACGTTTGACGTTTCACTACGATTACTGGATTATTATAACATTTTACTTTTAAAAGGTAGCCTAAAAAACAGGAATGAAATGAATGTGCAGACAAAATGTGCAAAAACATCCATCTGTACCCTTTAACATCAGTCTACAATTGTTCCAAATCTACCTCTGAAAGTCTCTTATGCTCACCAAGGCTGCATTTATGTGATGGAAAAATACAGTAAAAACACTAGACCGGTAAAAAAAATAGCACAATTTGGAAAAACTGTTTTCTATTTTAAAGATTTAATATTTTAAATCAAATTTTCCTTGAGCTTTTGACATCTAAGAGGTCATCATATTATAAGAATATCCTGTAAGTTTCAGAACTGAAAACATCCTTGTTAGTCCAATAAAAGCTTTTATTGACGCCAGACTTAAAACATTGTCCGTCTATTCGCTTCATTTCACTGAGGATTGTTTTGTAAAGAAGACTGGATTTGCAGACAGATTGAGAGTAAATAATGGCGCTGTGCCGTCTATATTGGATCCAACAGGAATTGTGCAACACACGGACTCTGGGTCAAACATGTATGGGCGAATCATTCAGGTTGCCATTTTACAACATTGGACGTTTTCAAAACAATTTCCCCGATGTGCACTGACGAGTGAGTTGAAACTCATTATAATATGCAAAACTGTTATCCACTCACATAGCAGTGGGCGTTTACTTCCAAGTCTTCAGTGCGAGACGCCCGTAAAAACCGAGCGTTTTTCAGCTAAGCTCAAAACTAGGGAAAGTAGCCTATTACTTATTCATTTTGATGTTTTTGAATGCAAAAACCAAGCGAACGTCATAAGTTGACCTAAGACAACAATATAATACAATTTAAAAAGCCAGTTCATGACCCTTTTAATATATTTTCAAATGTAATTTATTCCTGTGATTCAAAGCTGAATTTTCATCATCATTGAAAAAAAAATCATACTTTTATTCAGCAAGGACAAAATAAATTAATACAAATTGATAGTTTATTTGTATCGGGACATTAATAATGTTACAAAAGAATTACAAATAAATTATATGTCTGTTTCAATAAACGCTTTCACCGTGTCAAAGTTTGTGATAGACAATGCAGACGAAGATGAAGAATACGGTTCAAACATACAGTAGTCTTTAATGATAATCCACAGGTATAAAATAAGGCAGAAAATTACCACTTAACATTAGTATACTCATTTATGGATAGACGACACCGGACATTAAACCGACAGAGACCTGAACATACAGGTGATGATGATGGCGATTGATGAGTGCACAGCTTAACATAATTAAGTATCCATGACCACAAATGAATGATTAAGGCAGACGATGACGAAACACGGAGTCCAAACTAACGTGATTGTGACACACTGTAACTTATGAGCAATTTAATGCTTCCTTGGTGAAAATAATAACGCACTTAATCAATTATTTGAACCAGATTATAAATCAGAATTTAATCCAGAAGACGCTGAACTGACCCACATAGTCATAATATGACATTTATTTGAGTTATAAGCCTGTGTTATGCTTTCCTCCTCCGCTGGTGGAAAACGGCGGATGTGAACTTCCCAATGGATGACTCATCATCTGATCGCAGTATGCTGCTGAAACTCAGCCCTTCAAATGAATCCTAAAAAAACCCTACCAGGACCATGCAAAGACCACATTGATTTAGTGACTGTCTTATATCCCCATTTTAGGATTAATGAAATTACAAACACTGTCATTGAATTGTTACATAAACCCACCAATGCACATTAACTCTCTCTCTCTCTCATCCTGTGTTTCTGTCCAAGCGTAATAATTAATGCTAGACTTTATTAACCCTATAAAGCCTAAAAAATCCCAAACTTTGCATAAAAACCTGTTGAACACAATCTATTACATGCCTTCTGCCGTCTGATTAATAGTTTATAATTTTTTTAACAAGTAAAATACCTTAAGTGTAATTCTAAAATTGTCCTGTCAGTTCATTTAAGCACGTCTTGTAAAATCTTTGTATGATTTTAATGAAATTTTATATTGTTAGTAATATTTCAAGATGTTTATTTGTTCATCATTTGTTGTTTAGATGTTTATTTGTTTATTTAGTCATAATTGTATTGTATTGCATTGGATGGGCATCCTGTTCAGACAACACGAATGTTCCCTTAATTAGGAAGCAGTGTTGAACAAGTTGCCTATACTTTTGTTTATGCAAAATATATACAATTTGAGATCCTAACCTCAGGCTATATCTCTGGCAAGTTGTGGAGATATCTCTTCTTTTATTAAATTTGCACAGGTGATTAGTTATTCGGCCAGTCCATGGGAACTGTAGAATGAAAACTTCATGATAGAGAAGAGGCAGGTCTAGCTGTCTACGTACCTTAAGAACTAGTTTACCAAAAATTTAAAATCTTCTTCTTGTTATTATTATTATTATTATAATTACTGCTCTTATTCATGTTTGGCTGCCATGGATGTGCAGGGAGTTCTCGTCCAGAACTGAACCATAGGGAATGAGGGAATCCAGGGCATGAAGTTCAAGATTAATGTACAATGTACAAATGTACAATATTAAATAAGATGCACTTCTGGATAAAGACTTGGAAAATTAGACACAAATCTAAGTTTCTCTCGGTTTGTCTGTCTGTGAACCTTCATGTTTTTTAACACTGCATCATAAACATAAAATATATTAACATTACAAAAAAAGACATTATGAGATCAAATGGCCCAAATCAGACAAACACACCGGAACCATGTTTGAATGAAAAGACCACATTTAATTAGCATGAGCTTGCTGGCAAGAGGTGTTTCCCAAAGTATGGGAGAAAATTACAGAGGCATTTACAGCTTTATAGATAGACATAATAGAAACTGAAAGCCTTAGGACTTTATTACAGAGTGGTCAATAGTGAATGTTACAGCCCCACAAGAATGACTTCACCCATACATTCAGAAAAAGTCCACACGCAGGCTTGAGCAACCCATCTATATGGCTTCATGTTCATTTTGTTTCTGTAATATCAAAAGAGTGTTGCAAATGCCCCTTCGTGTTTCACAAACCTTAAGATTTCGAACCTCTTAAAAAGTCTTGAAAACACTGTGGCACTTCAAATAGATGCTTTACATAATCCAAAAAAACATTCAAGAAAAGTCATCTGATTGTTCAGATTCTAATTCAGATCTTGTTCGGATCTTTTGACAGGTTAGATCTGTATACCAAATACCGTTTGTGACAACCCAACATTAAAGTCAAGATGAAATACTGTTCACAGCCCATTTAACTTCAATAATCTGATTTCTGAGAAAAAAAAGGAAAAAAAAAATGGGTGGAGTTGCACCAGCTGTTTTAGAAGATCTTGGACCATAAAGTCTACACTAGAGGCTGAGTGACGTCGTAAGACATTGTGTCGATGTAGTGACTCTAGGGGTAGCCCTTTGCAGCCCCAAAACCTCTGAAATTCTAGAAAAGGACTGATAATTGGTAAATGAATTTGCATGCAATACATTCTTAATACAGGTATAAAAGGAGATGGCTTGCTCCACTCATTCAGGTTCGTGCTGAGGAGCCGAGACCATTTCAGGCAGTTCAGTGTTGTGGCAGGAGGGTCACAATATCTCGTTCCCTCCATCAGGGAAAAAAGTTTACAATAGTAACCAAGACGTACCCTATCAGTCACTTACACAACATGGTGTCAATGTATTGACACTAGTGGTCCCAATGCTAAATTCCACAACCAGCTGAACTCTGTCACAAGGTTTGACAGTGCAGATGTCAGAAGACAACTGCGTGTCTAAGAACAAGTGAACTCAGGCCACATCCTAACCTTTTCAATGCCCCCAAGTAAGTTACTGTAGTTCTTCGTACCACAAGGGCCAGTAAGGACCATAGTTATAATGGGAATAGGTTGCTTCAGCCATTTTTTTTTGTTTGTTTGTGTTTTTTTTACAAAAACTTACAGCTGAGCAGGCCAGACGTGGAAAATACATCACATTGACTTACCAACCAGGAGGTGCCACAAATAGAGAAACTCTGTGTGAAGGGTGCCTGAGAAGGGAGAAACTCACAACCACAGCGACTAGAGGCAGAGCGAGGCTCTCATTAGTGGAAGACACCGGGTTTACAGACAGGGAAACAGAGTAAATACTTCATATGGGATTACAAATAGCTAATCAGCACATATGGAGCACTAAGCCCAAGTGTATACGGCCTCTCCTGAAAAGGGGCATAGCATGAGTTGGGCTTGGTAGCACAATTCTCTCCTAGCGCAACTTCGCAAGAAGTCCGAAAAAAGTCAGCTGGCTTTAATCTATTATGGTCTATTACTGCATCGATTTATTTCAACACTCCTAGGGGAAAGGCACTGAGTGCAAGTGATATACCCAACCATTTACCCGTTCGAACCCAGTAACCCTTGAAGTTAAAACCGGATCCACTCTGAGATTATAAAATCTTGCAAAAGTATTGGGTGTAACTCACCCCACCGCTCTAGAGATGCCTGTCACAGGGAGGTGCCATTCACTAGTGCCCAGGAGGGAGCAACTCCACTGGTGGAGTGTGCCCGTATTCCCAGGGGCACAGCACGCCCTAAGAGAAATGGCATCCCCAATCCAGTGGACGATCCTCTACTTGGAGACAGCCTTCCCCTTCTGCTGTCCCCCGAAACAGACAAAGAGCTGTTCAGATCGTCTAAAGGTCTCAGTGCGCTCCAAATAAATGCACAGGTTATGAACTGGACACTGCAGAGATAAGACTGTGTCTATCTCAAACCTGAGGAAAGGCTTGCAATTTCACTACCTGATAGAATGAAGGATCTCACCTTCCTGAAGGAGGACCTCCATTGAGGGGTATGGCCTCAGCGAAAGTGCGCGGGACCTCGGAGGCCTGTAGGTTGCTGAGGCAGGGTGTGTCTGATTGCCTCCATCTGCTTCTTCACTGCTGTTAACTGTTGTAAGAAGACCTCAATAGTGTTGCCAAAGAGGCCACCTTGGGAGATGGGAGCGTCGAGAAAGCACACTTTCCCTGCATCTTGCATCTCGGTAAGGTTAAGCCATACGTGGTGCTCCAAGGTAGACATCTGGGTCAGAAGCCTGTGTCATGACTTCTGTCGCTGAGCACAGCTCCTTCATTAGCCTTGGGTCGGACCTGCCCTAGTGCAGTTCTTTCAAATGCCTTAACCTGATAGACCTGCAGGATGGCTATGGCATGCAGGGATCTCCTGGTGCACTTTCCAGAAGAAAGGCACTGGGACAGAGTGCAACTGTGCATCAGTCTTCGAGCTCAGAAACCAATCATCCAACCACGAAAGCACCAGACAGGGTGGCCTGGCCAAGCATAGCACTCAGGCTCACCCTGCGCTATCACACGAGATAGTGGGGGCCTAGGTGAGTCATCCGCTACCCTTCAATGCTGCAATCAATAGTTTATCATTTTCGAGAGCCCCGAATGAGAAATTAAATTCACCCAAAGGTGAACCGCCTAACTCATCCGTGAACTCCCCTGAAAGAGCGCGCAGAGGAATGGGAGGCCTATGGGGATTCACCCAGCGGAGACACTTCCATTTGAAGTGCTCAGATTGCCCTTGGTGCTTGGCGACTCAGTCTTGTGTGCATCCGCTGCAATTCAATCAATCTGCTGTTTTATTCTGACTGTTACTCCTGGTTGAAGGCTTCCATAAATATTTAGTTTATACGTAGAGTTTCAACACATTTTAATGGTGCAACAAATTATATTTAGTAGTGTGTAAGTTGTACTTTCTTTTACTTTCTAAAATTCTTTTGCAATTAGGCTAAGTTGTAACTTGGGCACAGCTGGTGCAACCGGTTTGATTTCATCTAGTGGGAATTTTTTGGATAGGCCATCCATTATTCAGTGCTATCTGATGACAAATAGGAAAGTTGTTTCAGTTGCAGAGTAAAAGTTTCAATTTTGATGAATGATTTCTTTGGACCAATGTGCACAATATGAGCGGGAACATGCATTAAGTAAATCAGTTCTTTACTTAAGTAAATGAATTTCAAATTGACTTTAAATTGGTCAAAATCTCATGTGTGTAGCATTAGATTTGCACTTGCACAAATGTTGAGCACAAAAAAACAATAATACTAATAATTTTGTGGTGGTGGCATATTCACACAAAAAAAATGCAGAGAGGTGATCAGGACATTTGCACAAACAATTATGTTCCCAATGAAATGGGAACGCGACACTTAAAAGTGCAGGAGTGGAACACATTGCTGGTGAGTCCCATATTGTGACCTTTGGGCATTTTCTCAAAAAGCTGATCCCAAAGTAAACCAGTCTTTATCTGAAAGCTGAAAAGAACGAGTGGTTTGGGCATGAAAAGGCTACAAGTGATTGTTTTTGGAGAGGTATGCGATAAGGGCCACGGCCACACCCACGTAGATGCCTGTCCCGATGGTGATGGACAGTACGGCGAGGAAGAGCGCACGTCTGGAGCTGGAGCTGGCATGGTGAAAGTCCCCTTTAGTCACCGCTTTGTTAGTCTGCATGAGGGAGGTAGAACAAAGACAAAAATAGCACATGTTGACATGTTTTGGAAAGGTTTGCAGTGTGAATGAGCTATGATCGCATAAGAGAGATGCAGAGAGAAAGAAAACAGAGAAATTATTAATTGGCCCTTTTCCAACAGCTGACTGACAGATCTGGTAAAGAGCATAAATAATAAGTGCTGCATGACTCAGAGCTCTCCTGCGGGGGCTTGCAGCCTTTGAAGTCCAGGAAACGTTGCCAAGATTAAGGAGAGATATTTCTGATGAATTCATTTACATCTCAACACCCCGCTACAACGTTGTTATGCGTCCTTGCTCACTTAAAGATGCTCCTACCTGACCGCTCAGAGATATTTCACCATTTATTACCTAGATTCATTGCATAATGGTTGTAATTGCATTTGGAGAAAAGTTGTAGGCTTGTGTCTTTCATTTTTGCCAACATCCATCACACAATTCGACCCACAATAATCTGATGATGCTAATCGGGTTGTATTGAAATTGCCCTCAAATTTAGCTGCCGATCATAATTCAGCTACATCTGACCAACTTCATCATGAGGTAGGAACAAAAAAAAATTAGTCATGCTCAAATGTGTATTTCTTTTTTGCCTGGATGATATAAAGCTAATTTGTGTCAGCCTAGCAAACATGAGAGCATGTTTAAGAAATAGAGATGAAACGATATGACAATTTCATATCACGATTATAGTGACCAAAATGATCATGGTTAATAATGTAAAATATATAGAAAACCAACAAAACAATTAAAAACTGACCTAATTGCATATGCGTTTGCAGGAGTTTCCCTTTCAGATGCAAAATTTCTGAGAGGAGAGTATTTAAATAAATCCCGCAAACTGATTTACTATGTGCACTAGTCAATTTAATGGTATTTGCGCCATTATTTACTGCCCAAAAAAGGCATGTCTTAAAACAGATGCTAATTTGCGCTGTCCTTGGTAGATTGTGTTGCTCATTATGGGAATGATCCGGCTAACCTGTGTTCTTTAATTTGCATGTCGTCAGTAGATCATGCGCAGAAATCTTTTTTGTAATTGCGCTTTCATGCTAATTCACAATGAATAATTTGTGAATAATTCTAAATACCAAATGCAAATTTACAACTGAGCATAAACATTTGGTCCAATTTCCACTGTCGATTTTCATTAAACATCACCTTTCCATGCCATTTTAGTGCAAATGCATATACGCTACCATTAAAAAAATGCACAAGCAACATGAATTATGAAAGTACATATTCAGTTATTCATGTCAACTATAAGTAGGGTTGGGTATCGAGAATCGAGTATCGATTGGAACCGAGACTAACTTTTCGTTTTTCCCGGAATCGTTCAAAAGTTAAAATTTCGATTCCTAGTTTCGATATTCACAGTCCGCCGAGCGGAAGAAGAAACCGCTGAACAACACCAACGAAGAAGCGTCTACCGGAAGTGTTGGTATAACCGCGCGAGTCGAACATGAGTAGCTTACGTCAGCGGTCCAAAGTGTGGCTTCACTTTTCTAAAAATAACGAAATCTCGGCAAAATGCAAAATTTGTGACAAAAGGAGTATTTTTACAGAAGGAGGAGTATTTCCTTCAGAAAGGCCGTTGGTTAGCAAGGTTAGCTAAACTTTTTTGACCCTGCCTCTTAAAAGAATCGGAATCGAGAATCGTTAAGAACCGGAATCGAAACAAGGAATCGGAATCGGAATCAGAATCGTTCAAATTCAAACGATACCCAACCCTAACTATAAGCCAAGGCCATGTTGAGTTGATACAATAAAAGGAGAAGATAAAGTGACAGAGAAGATTATGTGAAAGAGCAAAGAGGTAGTCGACTGATCTGATAAAATGTTGTACTAGGAGCTATTTAGAAAGAATTCACAGGCATAATTGACCCATGAGAGTTTCTTCCATCTGGAAGATCCACTAGCTTCCAGTGAAAGTGGTCATTGACAGGGCAGCTGTAAAATGTATGCGTTCTGCCTGCTTCTGGGGCTCTTGAGATTACTGCAAGATGCCAGCGCTTCCGACAGCATGACAACATGCGGCAGACAGGCATGCTGTAATACTCTCATGTTACTTCATACTGACTGCTGTCCTTTACAAAGCTTTTCTACAAACTCTTGTAATATGGCAAAACATGAAGGTGATTTAATTTTGTGAGTGGATGATTCTTGCTGTGTTCTTAATTTAATCATTTTTAGATTTGTAATACATTTAAGCCTCTTATAATAACACCTGGCAACTAGTTATGCCATGTTGTAATACTTCAGATAAGTATTACATTTTGTTACACGCTGGTCCCATACCATCTGTGCTACAATTTTGATACCTCAAATTGTGTGCTATTAGTTTTCTAAGCAATAAAGATATGATTTCTGCCTGAAGAATGACAAAAAGGCAAGAACAAATCTTGTAGTCTTACACTGAAGGATGAACCCAAGCCCTATTTAGAGACCTGAATCTCAATGAGACTTTGGTGTGAGCTCTCTTGAGTCTTCAGGCCTGAAAGCAACAGCTAGTAACCACCAAAACACCCTAGACACTCCATAGCAACAAGTTTAAACTACATAACAAGCATTTCTGCAACTTATTTGTGCTTATTATGCTTTTGAACATCCCTTGAAGAAAAAATATTTCCCTGTAGTTAAAGGGTTAGTTCACCCAAAAATGAAAATTCTGCCAGTATTTACTCACCCTCATGTTGTTCCAACCCCGTAAGACCTTCGTTCATCTTCGAAACACAAATTAATATATTTAAGATATTAATATCGCTCCTGCATACTGGTCCATAGGCTTCTTGAGGGAATGACTCTTGCTGGCATCGAAAAGTCATTAAAGACATCGTTAAAATAGTCCAAGTGACTACAGTGGCTCAATTTTAATTTTATCAAATGACGAGAATACTTTTTGTGCGCAAAAACAAACAAAAATAACGACTTTATTTCAACTATTCACTTCCTTCTCCGTGGGCCTGTAGTCAGTTAACGTAGTGTGATTGCGAAAAGGGACGTCACACGTAGGCTCACTATTGGCCGACGCTGGTCGTGTGTGATGCGTGTGACGCACAATAACAGAAGCTTACGCTATTAAACTAGTAACCTGACTCGCGCAGAGGGAGAAATAAACGAATAGTTTAAATAAAGTCGTTATTTTTGTTGTTTTTTTGCGCACAAAAGTGTTCTCGTCATTTGATAAACTTAAGATTGACCCCCTGTAGTCACTTGGACTATTTTAACGATGTCTTTAATGACTTTTCGAGGCCAGCAAGTCATTCCCTCAAGAAGCCTATGGACTAGTATACAGGAGTGATCTTAATATCTTAAATATCTTCATTTGTTTTCCGAAGATGAACGAAGGTCTTACGGGGTTGAAACAACATGAAGGTGAGTAAATACTGACAGAATTTTCATTTTTGGATGAACTAACCCTTTAAATTATTAAATATTTACAAAAGGTCACTTGAATACACATCATAAAAATTAATTCCTGTAATTAACCATAATAGTCTATTTTTTATTTTAATTTTAATTTACATTTAAATAAAAAACTGTCACGGTTTGTGGGTTTGCATGTTCATTCTGTGTGTTACGGCCCTGATCTGATTGCCATGAGTGTCAGCTTTGCTGTCGCAGGTGCACCTCGTTTAGAGTCCTATATGTAGTGCTGTGTTTGTCATGTTTAGAGTCAGATCGATGTTTCTCTGGTCCTGTTCTAGTCTCATGTTTGTCTGCAGTTACGTTCATCTCTCCTGTTCTCACGGACAGTGTTGTGCAAGTTACTTCCAAACTGTAATACATTAGGTATTACTTGTTACTGTTATTTAAAAGTAATTCATTACCTTACAATATTACTGTCTTAGAATTGTAATGCATTACATTACTCATGTATTACTTTTGAGTTACTTTCACCAAAATAACTACAGAAGTAGAACTTAACTTTGGGGCTGTAACGATATGCAATATGAAACCGAAATCGCGATTCGCCACACGACTCAGATCCACGAACCTACAGAATCGCGACACACCTCTTCCAACTCCAGCGTTATTCTCCTTACCGTCCAGATCCAATGCTACCTTATCTTTAAATTAGGCTATTAGTATTATTTGAAGTTAACATTTGAAGTTAACCACAAAACTAGTTGAGGATAAATTATTTAAAATTGGGGAAGTCCAGCATTATGGACATGACATTTGCAGTCAAAACTTGAAATAAAAATTCTCAGAAAATACATGTATTGAAACGTATATAGGCTACTTCCTTAAAGGACTCCAGACATTAGACAAATATCAGTCTATGTTTTATTTTTAATATTAGGGAAAAGACACACATTCATGCGTGACAAAAAAATAGGAGGCAAAATCGATTTTTTGTAATTCTGTTAATTACACTGCGCAAATCGGATGAGGAAGGGTTGGCTCTCCAGTCTCCATAGAACTTAAAATATTCATTTTATTTTAGTTTTCGTGTTCGCATTTATGAGGAAAAAACAATGTTACAGACGCGACCGCTCTGAACTGGCACTAAAAGACTGCTTTAAAACTTTCACATAGTCTGTTGCCTTTAAGAAGTAAAAGCAGACAATATTAGATAAGGCGCGGGGGCGTGCTGGTGCGCGTCTCATAAATAGCCAATAGGCTATACCTCACTGTAATACAACTGTAATACAAGCCTCACTGAACATGTAACGAGTAAAATATTACTGAAAATTGATTAGTAATGCCTTACACTACTGCGTTACAGCAAAAACTAATATGTTACAGTAATGTATTACTTTTGTAATGCGTTACTCCCAACGCTGCTCACGGATAATCCTGCGTCTCTCTGCCAATCTGGTTGGGCTTTGCCTTCAGAGGATTCCCTGGTTCTCTTCAGTCTTCCGGTTTTCCAGGACCACTGCAGTCACCCTGCGCTGCCAAGGATCTTCACCAGACTTCCTGTTTCGCCGTTCTCACTGTTCACTAATAAATCTACTTTACTTGCCTTT